TGGCTTCCAATTTGCTTCTGGGCTCAGTTCAAGGTGCTGGGACCCACACACCCAGGGTTGCCAACCTCCAGGCAGTGGCCAGGGATCTCCTGCTATTACAACTCCAGGTGACAGAGATCAATTCCCCTGGAGAAAACGGCTGCTTTGGAAGGTGAACTCTATGGCATTGAAGTCCCTCTATGGCACTGAAGTCCCTCCCCTTCCCAGATCCTGTCCTCTCCAGGCTCCACCCCCAAAATCTCCAGGTATTTCCCAGCCTTACAGGTATTTCCATGGCAACCTTACACACACCTCAAGAATCACATCTCCTAATATGGACCTGCTTGCCAATTGAGTTTGCCAGCCCCTTCTAGCGGTACTCTCTGCCCACTGGGGTTGCCAACCTCCAGGTGACACCTAGATATCTCTTGCTATTACAATTTGTTGCCAGATGACCAAGATCAGTTCCCCTGGAGAAAATGGCTGCTTCGGAGGGTGGACTCTCTGGCATTACACCCTGCTGAGGTCCCTCCCCTCCCCAAACTCTGCCCTCCCCAGGCTCAACCCCTAAAATTTCCAGGTATTTCCCAACCCAGAGCTAGCAGCCCTAGTGCCTACCAAGCAGAGGTTATTTCGGGGGGGAACGCGGGGGAACACAGTTCCCCCAGGTGAGGTGCAGGGGGCGGGGCACACGATGAAGCCCCGCCCCCTGCTTCCGGCCGCCCCGCTTCCAGCCCTCATTCAGCCAGGAGGAGGCAGGAGAAGAGGGAGGGTAAGTTGCTTCCTCCCCGCCTCTCCCCACCCCTGCCTGCCTGGGGCCAGGGAGGGCCTTGGCGGGGCTTCCTCGCACTCCCGCTGGGCTTGCAGGTCCACCGCCGGGCCCCTGATGTCAGGGGGTGTGGCATATGCTAATGAGTTATGCTAATGAGTTCCCCTAGCTCTTTTTCTACGAAATGACCCCTGCTACCAAGTGTAATTGACACCAACCTGAGCCTGTGCTTTCTGCACCAGCTTGTCTTCTAGAGAATGAGGGCATGCCAGGCATCTTGTATGCTAGTATTCAACAAGACCTGTAGAACTTGCTTGATCCAGAAGGCTTTTTGTTAAATATTATTGGCTGTGACCATCTCAGTAAACCTATCAACCATTTTATCTTGTCCTGTGTTTTGGTAATCATCGAATAAGGATTGTTGCTTTTAATAGGCATTTCATATTCTGTTTGCATATTTTAATGTATTTCGTTATCATTTTGATGAACGTCTGCCTCCTGAAATGGGGGAAAGGCAGAATACAGATCCATAAATTAAACAAATAAACAAACATATTGCCCTGTGCCCCTGCTATTGCATTGGGCCATGGGAAAGGTACAAACCCCGTGAAGATCTCCAAGTTCTGCACAAAGCTCTATTGAAATGAGTGACATCTGAACATGAGCGCACATGCGCAGCTCCCATTAAATTTCAAACGGAAGTATGGAGGAGATCTTCCTAGCTGATTATGCCCATAAACGCCGAACCCAGAGGGCACAAAAAAGAAAAGTTCTGCATGAATAATCCTCCATTGTACGATCCCGTGCTAGTAACATCACAAACCCTGGATAATTAGAATACACAGTCAAGTTCTCCTCTCTGCTGGTCAGCCCTTTCCGAACACCATCAGTGACCATTAGCAGATGGTGCAGTGAGTCCATAGAATATTCACCTCCATCCTTGTCCAAAGGCCTATGGAACAAGCCAAGTTGTACAAGGAGGACATTCATAAAGCAAACGGTGCCATCAGAGCCCTCTTTGTTCCAAGGAACAAAAGGCACACAGGAAGAACTGTTGATGTGGAAGGGCTCCGGCAAAGCCCAGATGGGGAGACAGGAACTAGAGACTCACTGTGAGAATCCAATTAGTTAGAAATCGATGTATTTGCTCTATCACTTGGGTTAAGTTCATTGAAAGGTCTGCTCATGTTGTGCCGCCTCCGATTCCCCTCAGCATGGGGCAAAGTTCTGACTGCCTTGCAGAGAGAAATATGAAGGTCTCGTAGTCCTGTCCTTTCCATGGTTGCCATGACCTTTCACCCTCCATGTTGCTGACATTATTTTCTACCCCTGTTCTGACAAACTCAGGTTTCTAGCCAATCCTTGTCTGGGGCTTGTTTTCAAGAATATTTACAAGAAAAAGGAGGTCAGTACAGTGGGAGAAATGGCAGGAGCAGGCTGGTTGATGGGATCTGATTTTAGTCAGGAAGAAACAATGGCCAACTGACATGATGTAGAACAGACCAGGAAAAGAGAGCTTGGCTCAAGGGATGACTCAGGGAGAAATTGCCCAGGAACATCTAGCTCTGAAACTGTTACTCTGAATCAAGTCCATTGGTCTACCAAGTCCATACTGTCTACTCAAACTAGCAGTGGCTTTTCAGGGTCTCAAGTGGAGAGCTCTTTCACATTACCTTCCACCTGATCTTTTTAGCTGGAGATGCCGGGGATTATTCTATTATTCGACTATTTTTTAAAGCATTTCAATACACTCTGCTGAACAAAAAGACCCCAAGCTATAGCGGGCTTCGGGGGAGAACAACTGAAAGCCAAGGTGGAATTTAAACCCGTAGTTCCTAGACTCAAGTGACACAGCGGAGGGATAAACACTATCAAACACTGTGTCCCCTTCTTATACTTCCCTTGGCTTCTGAAACCAAACACACAGGCTACATCTATCTAAATGTATCCCCATTACTACCCATTCTGTAAACATGCATGGGTAGGGCCCCAAAATCACAACTGACCTCCAGTGGGTTGCCAGGTCTGGGTTGGAAAATACCTGGAGACTTTGGGGTTGGATCCGGGAGAGGGCGGGGTTTGGGGAGGGGGCCTCAGCATGGTACAGTGCCATAGAGTCCACCCTTCAAAGCAGCCATTTTCACCAGGGGATCTGATCTTTGTCAGCTGGAGATCAGTTGTAAAAGCGGGAGATCCCTGGAGAAAATGGCAGCTTCAGAGGGTTAACCATAGATTCTAGATAAAATTGCTCCCCAACCCCCCCCCCCCGACACTGCCTCTGAATCTACAGAAATTTCCCAGGCCATAGTTAGAAACCCTAGAATTTCCAGTTGGCCATGGATGAAACTCACTGTGCGGCCTTGTTGCAGTTGCACTCTCTCAGCATGACTTCTTTCACGGGAACGCTGAAAATAAAAATGGAAGAGGCAGAACAGTAGTCATCAGCTCTTTGTAAGAAGTGTGGGATCAATATGATAGAAACTCTAAAGAGTACAGCATTCATATGAGCCTCAAAGAAGATGTACTTGAACTTAGAAGACTTAAACATTATCCTTTTTTGCCATTAGTTTGCAGCGGACTTTGCAGGGTTTTCAAGGCAAGAGATGTTCAGGCGCTTTGCCTTTGCCTGCCTCTGTGTAGCGACCCTGGTATTTTTGGTCGTCTCCCACCCAAATACCGACCAGGGCCAACCCTGCTTAGTTTACAAGATCTGATGAGACTGGGCTATCCAGGTCAGGGCAAACTATCTCACAAATATTTAAAATAGATCATATTGTATTTATATATTTATAAACTACATTTCAGTGTGGTACAGTGAAGTGGTCAGTACTGAACATGGAAAACTTGGATTCTAGTGTGCCAGCTCTGGGCTGGGAAATACCTGGAGATTTTTTTTTGGGGGGGGGGGGGAGCCTCAGGAGGGCAGGGTTTGGGGAGGGGAAGGACCTCAGTAGCATATACGGCCATTGCGGCCACCTTCTAAAGCAGCCATTCCCTCCAGGGGAACTGATCTCTGTCATCTGGGGATCAGTAGTAATAGCGGGACGTCTTCAGGCCCCACCCGGAGTGGATTAAAATCCCCAGTTATGAACTTCACTGTCTGGATGCCATTGGGCCAGTCACCAGTGACGGCCCCAGTTTTTTTCGCCCATTAGGCGAGGATACATTCTGCCCCCTCCCCCGTGCGGGACGGGAGAGCGGCAGGCACCAGAGTCGCGGCGGGCAGGCTGAGAAGGCGAGCGGCATTTTCCCATCCTCCTTCCCCCCCCTCCTTCTCTTTCTGTCTGGGGGGCTGCAAAGAGGGGAGTCTCTTGCCGGGGACGGAGCAAGAAGCCAGCAAGGGAGGCTTCCTGTGCGGAGCGAGGAGGGGACGAGGCCGGCCAGATTCCAGAATGGTGCCCTCCAGACGTCGCCCTAGGCTACAGTTTAAAATTTAACAATAACCCGCCGGCCCTGCCAGTCACTGTCTTTCAGTCTTTCATGGGTTGTTGAACAAAGTTTGAGACCAGTGGCAATTTTAAGAGCAACAGTTTTATTCAAAGTATAAGCTTTCGTGTGCATGCATGCATGCACTTCTTCAAATCCATTGTTCTGCTGCTTCAAACCAACACGCCTAACAACACAGTTGTTATGAGAGTAAAATGAGGGAGAATTACATACAAGCCCCCTAAACCATAAATCAATATAGTCCTTTGAATTATCTTCTTAGGCTGCGGTCACACACACGAAACAATCCACTTCCAGTGCACTTTCCAACTGGATTTTACTGTGCGAACTAGCAAAATCCAGTTGAAAAGGGCATTGAAAGTGGATTGTTTCGTGTGTGTGTGAATGCAGCCACAGAGCCTTTTTGCATTTCTGAAAATCATAGCGTCCTCCGACAGTCCATGACGACAACGGAGATCTGAACGGAAGGCTCACTTCAGTCGCTGAACGACACAAAGCGGGGAGATAACGCGCAAAAGAAGCCGCGCCCCCTTCTTAAGCTTCCAAATACAGCCGCGCCTTATCGCTCCGTTAGCGTAGGTGGGCGGGGTTCTCATACGTGTGGCTTCCACGTGCGCGCTCTGTGATTGGGCGCCCGCCCGGCTCTGTTCGCGGCCTTTGGTAGGGAAACGCCACGTTCCCGGGCGGAGGCGAAAGAGACGGTGGGCGTGGCCTCTCGAGCCCCAGCCAATGGCCAGGGGGCGTGCGTGGCGCAGCGTGCCCACCTCGCGAGCCAGTCTTCTGCCGAGTCCGCCGGGGAGGCAGGGCAGGGCTGGGCTAAGATGGCGGCGCCCGTCCTGCTGCGAGTGTCGGTGCCGCGCTGGGAGCGGGTGGCCCGCTACGCCGTGTGCTTAGCGGGCATCGCGCTCTCTCTCTACGCCTGCCACCTGGAGCGCGAGAAGGGGCGCGATCTCCACTACCGGGCCCTCTGCGACCTCAGCGAGCGCATCCGCTGCTCCGCCGCCATCGCCTCCAGGTCAGGCGGGCCTCTGCGTTTATACAGGGGGGCGCCTCCCCTGCCACCAGGGTGGGCCACGCGCTGCTCACAAGGGGGCCTCTGGGCATGTACAGAGGGCCGCTCGTTGGCATGGGGAAGTGCCAGTCGAGGGGGCAGAAGCTGGAGGCCCGAAGAGGAAGTCTCTTAGTGACCAGGCCCTCGCTAGGTGACCCGAGGGGACAGGCTCCGCCCGCTATCCCTTAGCCGCCTCTGGTCTTCAATCTGGGAGGAATAATAATAATACCCAGCCTGTGGTTAGTGCTTGTTGTATCCCATACTGCAGTTCTTGAAGGTAAACTAGGAATATTCTTCCCTATGTCATGAGGGAGGGGCGCTTAGCGGGCCTGTGCCAGACGTGAGGATTGAACCGAGGTGGGGTGGGTCCCGATTCATAATAATTTACAGTGCAGTGCTATGTGTCTCCATTCAGAGGCAAGTTAAACTTTGGTCTCGTTTACAGGTAAGTTTGTATAGAATTGTGGCTTTAGGTGTTTGTAGAAATTTGTTTATTCTGTAGCACTATTGTTGCTTTAGAATGATGAAATAACTGTGTTGGTCAGATTAGTATGTCAGTGGGGATGACTTCAGGGTGATTCTTCTCTTAGGGAAGTCATTTTTATTTTAAAAGTTGGAAAGTCTAAAATTGTAATGAAATGTAACTTAAAGGAGGCAAAGACCTTAATTATTAAGAGGAGAGTCAGTTCTGTTTTGCTTTTTGCATCAATAGGTGAGAATAGAGACGCTGCAGTGAGGGAATAACTGCATATACTCTGTATTGTGTCTTCGTCCATCCTGTTGACAAATGGGTTTCTGGCTGAAATAATAAGCTGATAGTCAGGGTAGAGGAGTTGTGTAACTGGGGTGTGTGAGTCTCTGTCTCAAACAATGAGGGTATAGATTTTGGCTTTCTAACAGAAAGAGGGTGTGGCTGTGAATGAGAGTATGCAGTGAAAGCAGAGAAGGAGAGGAATGGGGTGAGGTTGCTTTGACTGGCAGGGGTGTGACTGGGCTTGTTAGTGTTTAACCTGGACTATTCAAGCAGGAAGGAAGTTGGTTCATTTGAAATGTGGTGCTGGAGGAGAGTTTTACAGATACTGTGGAATGCCAAAAAGACAAATAAGTGAGTTCTGAATCAAATCAGGCCTGAACTTTTTGTAGAAGCTAAGACGACTAAATTATAATATTTTGGTTACATTATGAGAAGACAGGAGTCACTGGAAAAGACAATAATGGTAGGAAAAGTTGAAGGACGCAGGAAAAGAGAAAGACCTAAAATGAGTTGGACTGACTCTATAAAGTAAGCCCCAGCCCCCAGTTTGCAAGACCTGAGCAAGTCTGTTAATGATAGGATGTTTTGGAGGTCAGTAATTCATAGGGTTGCCTTAAGTTGGAAGAGACTTGATGGCATTTAATGCACACACGCAAACACATATTCTGATTTTGACTGGGTTTCTTACTGTGCAGGCTTTGTGCATCAGAGCTTAGCGATGGACCTTGTGTCTGGCGATATCTGTCAAGCCTGACTGGATGAATGGAGGTATTTATAGAGTTCAGGCTGCAAGGAGGGAAGTGTGACACCTTGGGGCTGGGAATGGTAGATCAGTGTGACAGTCATGAGCAAACAAAAGTCCCTAAAGCAGGAACTTGTGCTGTGGACTGGAAGTGAGCAGATCAGGGGTGGACTTGGGCTAGGCAGGTGTTCAGTGAGAGAGGTGTCCTCTCTGGGAAAAGAACTGCAGCAAAAGAATCAGGCTAAGGGTGAATGCAAACAAGTGCCTAGGAAGCAAAACAACCTGGTTTCTTACTTTTCCTGCAGCAGCTAAAATAACAAAGAAACTTGTGGCACCTTAAACTTTATTGTGGCAGAGGCCACACTATTTTCATATGCCTGACAAAGTGGGTCTTGGATCGTTAGCATTTATGCCTCAGTAAATCCATTTTGTCTTTCATGCCACCAGTCTGTTGTTTTGGCTTTTTAGGGAAAAGGTAACTTTGCTTGTAAAACTGGATTGAGGAAGTGTTGTGTGATTCTTTTGACATGCAGAAGGAACCAAAGTGGCGGTGTGCTACTTCCCTACTGCTGGATGCTTCTCTTACCTGGCATGCTGTATAATTTTCAATGTGCAGAACCCTGTTCCACTCATCTTGATCCTATAGCAGTATGTGTGTCCTGGACAGTTCAATGGCATGGCTTCACTTTCCTCAGTCCAACCTTTATGTATGATGATTGCAAAACAATTGGAGGCTTACTAAGTATTAGGTTTCTGTGAAAATCATAGCTGTGTCACAATTTTACATCATAAAGTTGGTTACCTGTAGATTTTTGAAGCTCTCATTTATGCCACTTTTCTGTATCGTGTTGATTTACCCCGGGGCTCATGCTTTTCTTAACTGGAGTGGTTGACACTTTATTTTTTGTGTTGCACAGAATTTGGAGTAACAGTTGATTCCTCCTGGTGCACAGTGGGAGCTTCACTGTTGCTTTGTAGTCATTCAAGTAAAAAGTTGAGATATCTCTGTCCCCTTTGCTTTCAGGAATGGCTTGGAGTTTTATATCCTTAGTTACACTCAGAACTAACCCAGAGCCACTGTGGTAAAGTGCTTGGAGTGTCAGACTGTCACCTGGAAGACCAGGTTTAAATCCCCAGTCTGCCATGAAGCTTGCTGGGTGACCTTGGGCCAGTCACTCTGTCAGCCTAACCTGCCTCACAGGGTTCTTGTATGCCACCATGAGTTCTTTGGAGGAAGGCTGGGATAAAAATGTCCTAAATAAATAAACAGTGTAGTAATCTCAAAGCCATGTTTCTCCCTTTGCCATCCCAAGCCTCAAAATCTTTCATACTCCATGCCTTGCTGTGCTGTTCTGCCAGCATTGCTTAAACTTTGGCTGTTGCCTGTTGCTGCGAGGACATAGTCCTCACAAGACGTAAGGGGATGTAGGCAGCTGTGCATGTGGCTATTCCAAGGTGCAAGGTGTAGAATGAGTTGGGACTGGAGTTGAGAAGGAGCATGGTGTTGGAGGCAAAGAAAGGCTGTTCCAAAGGCAGAAACTGGCTCAGACCCTGACCTGAAGATGCCTGATTAAAGAAATGAGGTTTTAAGGGGAAAAGCTGGCAGAGCTAGCACAAAACGTTACAATTCTAATTCTTCCTTGATGGAACAGAAAACAGAAACTCATGGTGGTGGGAGCACATAGGTGGGGCTTCCATCCAGAAACAGACTGAACTGCTTAGTGTCAGGAAGGCTGCTATGTAGTCTAGGGCTGGGGAGCAATACAAACAAGGCCAGAGTTTGCCTGGTGGATTTGGCAAAGAGCTAATTATAGCTAGGTCAAGTCTGGAAGAGCCACTGTCTTTGCAGTCCATGTCTGGCACTCTAGCAGTCTTACCACTATACCCCACTGCCTTCCAGTGTACCCTGTACCCTGCTTTCAGGCAATGCTCCCTATAAACTGTGGAGTCTTGTGAGCAAAAATTCTACTTTGTGAGCTACTGGCATTAAAGTTGTGAGTGAGCGATTTGGCTACTGTATAAATTAGTTTGCTCTGAAGCCGTCCTTCCTGAGCTAAGACAACAATGTGTGAGCCGGAGGCTAAAAAAACTGAGCTGACTCACACTAACTCAGCTTAGAGGGAACACTGCTTCCAGCTGTTTGGAACTCCAGGCAAGGTTAGATTGTGCCGTCAGCGCTGGAGAAGTCCCAGATCTGTGAGCATCTCACAAATTGGGAAATACGGCCCACCCAATACCAGGTCGGTTTTCAAAATGTGACAGTGCTCCTTAAAACCTGATCCATTTGTTGCCTTTTTCAGACAGTGTGTATGGGGGGGTGCAATACCATACTGTCAGGTAGCTCCCATGTGGCAGGTGTTCTGATATTGATAGTACAGAATGTGCCACACTTATTCCGGAACTACTTGATCTTCTAATAATGACTTTGCATCTTGAATTGCTACACGTCTGTTTTCCCAAAGAACGTGGGCAGTTTTGTTTAAGGTTGGAAGTAAATCATTCCGCAACCTGCCTCTTCACTTGGTGTATTTTTTCTCCCTGTTCACCTGGAAACAATTCTGCTCCAGGTTTTTTCCACCGAGCTGGTGCTCAAGGTAAAGTTGATTGCAAAAGAGATGCGGTTATATGCACAACTAGGCTGTTGACCATCAACTGCTTATTCTTGGCATCCACAAAGCATCATGGTGGAACTTTAGCAGGTGGTTGGTATCGTCCATGCTTGGAACATTCTGTCCAATGTGGTGTACTTTTTAAACTTTTAGAAGGTTTTTTTTTTTTTAAAACGTTTTCTGTGAGTATTGGGTATATGTGCCTGCGAGCCTGGAAGTAATGGTGACTTCTGGCGACCCCTGGTGAGGCTAAGACGTTTCAGAGAGGTGGTTTGATATAACCTGCTTCTGCATTCTGGCCCTGGTTATCCTTGGAGGTCTCCCTTCCAACTGCTTGCCTGGATCGGCCCTACATAGCTTCTGAGATCTGACGAGACTGGGCTTTCCTGGGCTATCCAGGTCAGGGCAAACCTTGTGTGGTTTTTGAACCACAGGAAAGATCCAATGTTTGTGCCTCTTTGCGGAAGTGTGGTCAAGATCCCTAGGGGGCTGGTGTTTGATGTACGTGGTGCTGATGTAGGTCTGCAGAAAGCCATAGTGAGTAATGGCCATGGTTTGGTTTGAGCTTGGAGGAAGGAGGCCTTGTTCTAGGGTGGGAGACCTTTGGTCACGCCCAGGAAGGAAAGAAGGGCTAGCCTCAGTCAGCATCTGGGAGGCTTCAGGTGGGACCTCGGGAAAGCCCATCTGCATCATCTCTCTCTGAAACTAGCAGCACAGGCTTGGCAGGTTTTTCTTGCTTGCCCCTTATCTCCTCTGTTTCAAATTTTTTTAGACTGTAAATTCTGCAGGGCAGACCCTGTTGTCTTGTTTTCCTATAAGGTAACATGCACATTGATGGGGCTGTTCAGAAACAATTTAC